CTCTGTCCTTGCCCGGAAGATGCGGAACCTTCTACCAGATTGCAGAAGTTGGAACAGTTTGTTGCCAGGATGGGACGGGTCCTTCAGTATCTGCTCTAGTCCGGCATCTCCTGGTGTAGGTGTCCTGAAGCACTCTGAAGCGCTCCCTGCTGATCTGCAGCATCCATCACAGGACGTGTACAATAAGCAGGCTGCACCACGAAGAGCCAGCAGCCCCCCCCCCCCAATCAGGGCCTTCATTACCTTTACTTTGCAAAAGACATCGAGGGACAGTTTCTGAACAGGACAACGTTAAATTTCACAGTAACGCCAAAATATAACACAGAAGGATTTTTAACATGAAACCTTTAGTTGCTAAATAAAGAACACGTTATTCTAGATTAGCTTTCATGTTGTGCTGATCAAATACTGCAGCCACGTGTTTCACACACACAAGTCATACAAACCAGTCAAAAACAGTGACCTGACTCTAGAGTGCGACCAAAAAAACAAATCCTATGCCGCGCCAGTGCGACGGTTTGAGTGAAATCAGTGATGAGACGCAGCTCTAGTGAGCAGCCTGTGGGTAATGAGAAAAGATGAAAAGAACTATTGCTACATTTTTGTTAAAGTCTGAAATTCACAGCCAGCTCTGACATGGAGACATCAACCTCTGAGCGCTGAAAAGCAGCAGTGTATCCAGAAACACATTATACGCTGCAATAAATGCCCAGGTGTCCCCTCTCCCCACGGCCTTTCAGCGGCAGGCAGCAAACAGGTCGCCAGAGGTCGATGTGATGATTAAGTTTAACATTGTCTACAATATTGCCAAAGCACTTTAAGCACAAGCAGTTTTTCAGCAACTTTCTGGTAGAAATGTGCTTCAACTAAAGGACTTTGTGTTGAAAAGATGTTAGTTCATCATTTACAAATGAATATTGTCTGCATGGGCTGAAAAACCTCCTTAAAAGTGCGCATGTAAAACTGCGTGTTAAGTGATGCGGCTGAAAAATTTGGGTGCGCATAAGAAAAAAAATTCAGCACACCAGTGCAGCCGTGACAAACGTTAGTCTGCAGCCCTGCCATATGAAGTTTTTCCTTAGTGCTCCCTCAAATGTGGGAGTTTAGCCGAGTGCTGACTAACACTGACTGCACCAGTTTACACACCCTGACCTACTTTTATGGTAAAGATCAGTGAAACTTTCAGACTTTAATATTCAAACATTGCGTGAGTGAGTAAAAAAGGTCCTGAAAGGTCAAAACACAGTTTTCCAAAACTATTGATGTTCAAAAATATTTGATATCTGAAGCCAAAAACTTGCAGAAATAATTGGACTTGTTCAAACTTTGTACCATGTTGATGCTAATCAGAGATGGTGGAGCAGAAAATGCTGTAAAAACAGCTGATGTGAGATGAAATGTGTGACTTATGTCCAAGTATAAAAGTGCAAGTTTGACTTTAGCACGAGGCTGAAACAGAACACGCAGCAATCGTTTACTTCCTGTTTCTAAAGCAGCAGCTCACTGTGTGACTACGCGTGAGACAAAGAACCTTCAATCTTCAGACAAGGATAACGGTTTCTCTGAAAAACAGGATTTTTGATTTTGTGACGTTGAGATGAAGAAGATTTGGTGCCATCCGACATCTTTAACATCGCTGAGACGTTTGAAGCAGCTGCTGGTCTTCTACGGTTGCCAGGGATCATCAGCAGGTCCATCCGTGTGTCAGCGTGGCCGTGAAACTCTTAGCGGGAGGAAAAGTGACAGAAAATCAAACAGGACCTACCAAAAACCCCGCAGGAGGCCACAGGTAATGCAGGCTGCACCACAGTCCTCGAGGGCCGCTTTGCTGAAACGTTTCTATGCGTCGCTGCTGCAACACACCTGAATAAAGACGACTGCACGCTGAGGTGCCCGCCCCCCCAATTTAAAGAAGTGTTTAGAAAACTGTACTTTTACTGCACCACGTTCACTCACTCCTGATGTAACATGAATCAAATGCTGAATCGCCTCCTCAGCATCGAGTCAAGTCTTGCTGAGCTGCTAATTTCATCAGGACACCCTCGAGTTTGACACCTGTGCTCTCAAATATATGAAAGCAACAAGTGCAGCTCACACTGCTGCACTCGCTAACAACCACCAAGCCCTGACTGAAGGTAGAAGCGACCCCCTCTTCCAACAGTCACCTTTCCTCAAATAAAAGACAAGAAGAGCTGAAAGGTTATTTGTAAAATACATTTATTCCCTTTATATTTGGGCAAACCAAAGTCTACAGAGCAGAGAGGAGATTTATGCAGCGGTTATTCAAAAGGCAGCATCAACGCTTCATCGGCGCTGTCACAAAACCTTCCCCTTCCTCCTGTGATGACGTACCAGACAGATATTACGATACAAAGAGAAGAAAGGCATACACTGTTTCTACAGCCGTCATTATTTTCATTAGTACGATACATCAGAGCTGTACGTCGCACTGTCCAGCGCCACTTAGTTAACAAGGCAAAGCTTTAATTGGTTGAGAAAAGCTACGATTATATGGAGGGTAACACGAGACGCTATGATTTAAAGGAGAGGTTAGAGGCCCGCGGGGCTGTGCAGCCAGCGGTCGGCCGATGAGGCGGGAACAGTTGGGACGGAAGGCGCTCTGCACGTGCACGGGTCAGCTCGGACGGCGCCGATAGAGCCACGCTCGTTACCATGACGACAACACAACAGATGAACTGCTAGTGCGCGGCTAACGAAGGTGGAGGGACGATGACCACATAAACATGTCAGATTAGACCGACGAGGCTCAACCGGACCAGGTAAGTACGGGGATTTCAAAATAAGGGCAAAATGCACAAAATGACTCAAATGTGCCAAATATGACATGAATTTAAGATGCAACATTAATTATTATTTGTGGGCTTTTAAATTTCTGCTTTGAATCCTTTTTAGCAGCCCATAGTTTTATTTGTGAGCAAACACAACCAGCTGCCTACCAGGACAACCGGTTTGCTGGGAAACACACGTGACCAGTACACGACTGCAGGAGTGAGCCGAACACTAAACTCTGAGGCTCTGATTCTGACATGACGATCATAGTTTACCACCGCAGAAAGAAAGCAAACGGGGTCAGAGGTCACGGACTTTGGTTACAGCTTCAGATTAAACATTTCATTTCCTGACAACATCCCACAGTATGACCAGAGGGGTG